TAATGATGGTAATATTATTGATGATAATCATAATTAAAACAATAAGGAGATTAATAATAACAATAAAATAATAATAACAGTAATAATAACAATAAAATAATACCAACAATATTAACAGCAATAGGTGTAAAAATAATAATAATGATGATGATAACAATGATAGCACTACTACTACTATTACTACTACTACCAATAATAGGAATAATAAAAATGATGATAATGATGGAAATTTTAGTAAGGATAATAAGAATAGTAGTATTAATGATGATAATAATAGTGATGATATTTATGGGTGGGTGCTTTAAGCGCTGGTGTGAAGCGATGGTGAGGTAGCCTAGTGTGAAGTGCTTGTATTTCTCGCTTGTAACTGCCGCTGCTGGCTAGCCAAATTTGAAAAAGGGAGCGGCTCTGCATAAGCCTCCCCCTGCCAGTGAAGCCTCTCCATCATCGAGGCTTCTGCAGTGTCTCTCCGTGGCCACCTATGGAAATTGGTACCCTGTGGTCCCAGGCTGAACTGTAAGGGATCTCGGAGCAGTAGGAGGCCACAGAGGTACAAGATCATGGCCCATCGGCGTGTGGACACGCCCTGGCCTTGTACTAACTTCTGTTCCTAAGCCTCCTGGGGTTCATGGGAGGCTCGGAAGCGGTGGGTCTTGCCAGTCCTCCTCCCCCCAGGGATAGCCTCATCGGCAACGTCTCGTATAATTGGAAACGCTGGGGGGAAATGCCCCTGCTACCCAGCAAGAGAGGCGGGCTGCGAGCCCCGCGGCTGCTGGGGCGCAGGATGGGAACGGGACCACTCGTCCCGCCTGTGTTTTTGAGCTTGTGGGGAAAAGCCCTAGGGAATCCCACAGGTGGATGGGTCCCGTTGAATGGACTAAAGGGGAGGAATTAAGGGCTCCTTAGTGCAGGAGGGGGTTGAAGCTAGGGGTAGCTGGCTACCTAAATAAGGAAAGTAAGGTCCCGCAGCCTGCCGCCCCCTTATATATGGGGCAGCGTCGGCGAGGGTGGCAGATGTGGCGTCCACCCGGAGTGACTGCCCGAGGGTTAACCTCAGGCGGGAAGTCGGGGGTGGGGGTTCAGAATATCCGCTCTTTGCGTCAGGATGATCGGTTGCCTCTGCTATCGAGGGAACTGGGGAGGCTGAGAGTTGGGGTGGCTGCTCTCTTGGAGGTGAGAAGACCTGGCCTGGCTGTATAAGTGGCTACACCTATTACTGGTCAGGCCGCAGTGATGGTCACCATTTCCAGGGGGTAGCCATAGCTATCTCCAGTAGGCCGGTATCCATGAAAGTTCTCAGACAATTCTGAGACTAAAATTCAGATGTCTGAGGAAAAAAAATAGGTCGGTCGTTTGTTTATATCGTTGATCTCCTCGTTTAGTAATTAAATATAATAATATATAAAAATGTTGCAACATATGTTTTCTTTGTCGAAATACTCTATTGCTCTGGCACATCACACACAAATGAGTCATTACACAAGAAAATAAAAACAAAAACAAATATCGATAAAAATGGCCTTTGCTGTCCTCAGGCATGAGCTCCTCCGAATCCTGTGTTTACCCGCCCCTATCTGACCTCGGACAGGGAGCGGGTCACTTCCTCCCAAAGTATCAGCATGGCTAGTGTTGCTAGTGGGTGATCCCATAAGAGGGTAAGAAGTGATGGAAGCATAATGGGTAACAATGAGAATGGATGCAAGGAAGAACGACGGAAACGAAGCAGCAGCCCAGAATGTTGCCGGTGTAAACAGCAGGAAGCGACTGCTATATCCACAGAACTTTTTTTCCTTAGAGAAATTGAGGTGGGCCTTGCAATTGGGACGGGACCATAGTGTTTTCGAGCCACCGATGAAGGAAGGAAGTGGGAGGCCGTATCTCACGGTGCGGGCAGGCCAGTCGGAGCAAACCCTGATGACCTAGGGATACAAGGGAATAGTGATGACTGTCCTAAAGGATGAGGAAAAGTTCACTGTGATAATTTTCCAGTATCCAACCATAATAGACCCAGACTTCCTACTGGACGATGAGAGATTTGTTTGGGTAAGGCGGCACACGTCCAGGGGCGAGGAGCGGAGTCAGCTCGTAGCCCTTGTGAAGGTTTTATCTCTGTAGCGGGGTACAAGAAAGTGGCACCATATGTGGAGCCGCCAGTCATGTACCGTAAGTGCTGTAGATGGGGACACAAGTCGTGGCATGTCAGCGCCCAATGCAAGTTCTGCGGCAGGACACATGACTCAAGGGTCTGCCGAGCCAAGGTTGAAAAGGGGGGAAGGGTTTCGCTTTGCTGTTGCAACTGCAGAGGCCACCACAATGCCGGGTCTCTTGCATGCAGGGCGAGACCACAATTAAAGATTGCTTCGGCGGTCCCCGGCAAGGAGTTCCTGAATATGGAAAAGGCCCAGTCACCACGCTGGCTGAGGTGCCGAGGGAGGCGACAGCTGCAGTCCCCAATGCCTGGGTACAAGATCCATCGCAGGTGGAACCGTCACCAATGAGTAGTGATCACGGGCAGGATAGTCAGGTGCAGAAAGTGAGTGAAGTGCCGCGGAGTAGTGATGCGTATTTTTCTGGGAAGGAAATATCCGAAGTTACGCGGATGCTGCAGACATTAATGTAGAAAATGGACGTTATTAAAAAAAAAAAAAAACTGGCCCAAGTTATGAGCGGAGAAACCATAAAGCAGAAAGAGGGGGAGGAGGCTATAAAAGAAACTCCCATTAAAGACAAAACATATATTCCTTCATACATGCATTACAGCAAAGGAGCAACATTCAGAGTGTGAGATAACTATTAAGGGAAGGGAAAGTAAAATAACAGCGAGTGCAGTGGCAGGAACAAACTCTGTGGCTCTCAGATCCCTCCTGCTGAAATGCAGCTACCTAGAAAAAGAAAAACTCTTAAATGAATGGGAAATTGTGCAAGACGAGTGGACAAACATTAAAGATATGCTGGAGAAATATAAGGACACGATAAAGCATAGTGGAGCCTCATAATATTTGTTTAGATTTCAGAAACAGCGTTTCACTAAATGTACGACAGAGAACAGTTCGTTTACATTATACTCAAACGCCTATATGTTGACTTATCAATATAGAGGTGAGGATAATCTACGTTACCACATCCTTTTGAGATGTAATCTTTTGTCTCAATAAACGTCAAAGTAAAAAAAAAATTCTCTCACTCTCTTTATATATAATATATATATATATATATATATATATAATATATATATATATATATATATATACACACACACCACACACACACACACACACACACACCACACACACACACACAACATATATATATATATATATATATATATATATATATATATATATATATATATATATATATATATATATGTATATGTATATATATATATATGTGTGTGTGTGTGCGTGTGTGTGTGTGTATGTGTGTGTGTGTTTGTTGTGTGTGTGTGTGTGTGTGCATATATATATATATATATATATATTATATATATATATATATATATATATATATTATATATATATATATATATAATATATAATATATATATATATATTATATATATATATATATATATATATATAAAATTCTCGTTATTTCTCACTCTCTTTCACGCTCTTTCTTTCTTTCTTTCACTCAATCGCTCACTAAGTTACTCATCCTTTCCCTCTCTCTCTCTCTAATTCTTACTTTCTCTCTTATTTTCTTTCTTTCTCTTTTCCTTCACACTCTCACTCCCTATATATCTCTCTCCATCCCTTCCTCTCTCTCTCACTCTTCCTCCCTTCCTCTCTTCCTTCCTCTCTCCCTCTGACTCTCTCTGATTCTCTCTCTTTCTTTTTCTGTATCTATTTTCTCTGCGCTGGGAAGTGTGTGTGTGTGTTGTGTGTGTGTGTGTGTGTGTGTGTGTGTGTGTGTGTGTGTGTGTGTGTGTGTGTGTGTTCTCTCTCTCTCTTTCTCTTGCTCGCTTACGTATCTGTCAGTTATGATATACCAACTGTTGTTATTGCATTGTAGAACACAATAACAATTTTGAGAAAACACATTTGCTCCAATCACTTTACAGTGCATCAAACATCTCAATCTAATATTTACATATGAGTTTGGATATTTTCTTGCAATACAGTATCGGTGATACTGTATCGGCGATGCATGTATTGGTATCGGCATCTCTTTACCTGTTTCCGAAGAATCGATGTTTTGGAATCACATTTCCCTTTGTTCAAGTATCGATGCCTCGGTATCGCTTTATATAAATATGTGTATCAATACCCATCATTGTATATATTATTCCTGATGTAAAAGATATTTATGTCATAGTTAGTTTATACTGATGATGATTATAACAGCTTAGTCTGTTTTTCTTGGTGATGTAATTTTAGGTGAACTTAATTCCAATCAAATGGCCTAATGTGGATAGCCTTTCTTCTTGATTTCGTGATCTGCAATGCTCTTACCATACTACGTGATTGTATTATAAAAAAAATCCTTAACTTACGTCAGTTATGAAATCAGCATCATAAAACGCCATTGAAGTAAAGAAAATGAAACAGTAATATGAACAGCAAATATCTTTCTTGCTCTTGTATATTGTTAATTAAAAGAAATGTGTTCTTCGTCAGGAAAACCCAGTGCCGACAATAAAACTGGATCCGCTTAATCACATTTATTGCTTTTTGAACGGAGGACATTTTCCTTTTTGTCACAGAGATCTGGTTCGGTTTATCAGCGGCATAGTTCTTTCACTTATCTCTTCTTCAGGAGGTGTCGCCGGTGTTTAGATTTTTTTGTGTGCGACAGTTCTATCCAGTGAAAAAGCCTGGATACATTTTATGATTTGGGCTGCGGGAATTCTCGCTTTTTTATTGCACGGAGTCATCGATAAAAACACACAGCAGTAACGCTTTCGGCGAGAAAAGGAAGACTGATTTCGTGTGACGATTCGTCATTCTATCTGACATTTTAACACCTGATAACGGCATCAAGGAACGCTATATGAAGCGCCCGTCCTCGGGACCGGCACACTGCGGCGTCCGCGTCGACCCGTAGAGGATCTCGTCCCGTGATAACGCAAGAAGCGGGACCCTCGTGGACTTCCCTTCTCGACGTCGAAGCGGAAGAGTCAGGACATTTCGGAGGAGCTTCTGACCTGACGCTATGGAGGGCTCCTCAAGGGTCCTCCTCTCCCTCCTAGTGGCGGGATTGGCAGTGCTCCCACACCTGGTCAACGCCAGTAAGAGTGATTTCAAATATTATGGCTGCATTTTATTTTATTTTATTACACTTTTCTGTTATTCCTTATATATTGAAGCATTTCCGAGAACCCAGTAGTAAGGCACAAGAATAAGTCTTTCACCGTTTTTTTATGTCTCCATTCCATTTGTGTTTATTCATCGTTGTATTTCCTTCCTTACAAAAGGGAGATGAAGCGTAAATGACTAATGATTGTGAATGAACACATTCTGTGAAGTTTTCCGAAACCCGTAACACTTTGATAGATTGTTTGACATCGTTTGACAAGTTTTGAAAAGATAAATATTTATATTTCTCTTTATTTCACATAAAAAGTTAACAGAAAACTATTAAACTATTTAATGTGTTTGTATGTTTAATTCAAAAACAAAACATTATGGAAGCAAATAACTGAAAGGGAAAGAGGCTGTAGAAACTTTAAATATATATGTCGGATTTAGACAAACCTATTAATTTATTATTCACTTTAATACGCCCACTGTTTTTCCTATGGAAAGCGTAAGTATGTTGCTTGAAGTTTTATAAACCGCAGGTGAGATCTGAACTCACACTCAGGACGGATAATGATCTTACCTTACTGTTTGTTATTTATCAACAAATTAAGATACACAGCATTTTCTTTGATATTGTTCAATACAGGATAGTTTTCGATATTCATTCCACTGAATGCACACATAATATATATCGGACATATTTGAAATTAACCTTAATTATGAACTAATTGTATCCATAGAACATGAATTCCATGCACAAATAAAAATATATATTTTTTTAAATGATACACACAATGCAATTTGTACTTTATGAAAATATAAATCCCTTATGGAGACGTCCGTAGAATATATCGATTTGGGATTGGCCGACAAATAAAAGGAAAAGATGTCACAACAGGTTGCAATAATGTGCGCGTAAAGGGTAAACATGTTTGAGTATGTATCAAAGCGTTAGAGTTTTCGGAAATGCTACAAAAACCGTTTTTTTAAACAAACAAAATTAGAAAACATTAATCAAACAATCAAATCTCAGTAAATTAAAATTTATGTTCGCTTTTTTTTTTAAATCAGCATTGTTGAGAACACCTCGTCCTTTGCAGGATCCCCGACTCCGAACATACATATCTGTCACAGCCTGACCTGCCCTGAACAGGACGCCTTCTACGCGCACCCGACCTTCTGCACAGACTACGTCCACTGCGTCGCCGGCGTCCCATATGTCAAGGTGAGAGACCGGATTAGAATGAGTAGGAGAAACTGGGAGAAGAGGAAGAGAGGGTGGGAGAGATACTGATGAAAGATGTAGAAAAAAAGGGAGGGATGAACATTACAGAAAAAGAGGGAAGGCTAGTGGGGAGGCAGGAATGGTGCGGATGAAAGAATAGTTTGGGAAAAGGGCAAACCGAGAATTAATCCATTTCAAGGCATCATAAATAGGGGCCGATAGGAAGGGAACTATAACAAAGAGCAGTGAATGCAGGGAGGAAAGGCATAGGATACCCAGAGAGAAAGAGAACGATATTATTTGTCTTCCCTTCATACTTAGATGCACAGCGTAGATTTTCTTTCTATTTGCTCAGCACCAAAACGAACCGCAAACCTGCTGTGTGACTAAAAGCACAGCTAGAAGCATAGACATTCTAGTTCATCTTTCGTTAGCTTTGATACAGTCTAAACTCACATTGTTAATTTCCAGGGCCTCTTTTACGATTTCCAGTTAAGGTTGTTCACGCCCAAATATTCCATAGCCGTGAATTAATTGCTTATCATTTTCCATATCATTTGATCACTGAAGACCGATAAAGAATCTCTTCGCACCTTACACATAATCAAGAAACTGAGTGACCATTACAATATTAAGCTAAATAAATGATTATGCCAAAGGCTGTAAAATAAGGAGCTTGACTCGTCTCGGTAAAGTGTGTCATTTAAACAGAAACGGAAGATGAGTCAGGAGAAACATACGAAGAGGGACCAGAAGAACTAAGGGCACGAGTCACTTTGCGTGAATACGATTTTTGGTTCTTCGTTAAGAAGTAGAGTATTTGGTACAGATTCAAACATTCAGGCAAGGAGAAAGAAGGAAGTGCATCAGTAATAAATTTAACATATACAAAAATAATAATAAATAAAAATACTTTCTCCATTGTCAGCAGTAAATCTTATGAATCATATCCAATTACGTAGCACAAGATAAATCTGAGTTATAAATCTTAATATCCGTTAGGGAATTATACAGTTGATAAGGTGTTTATGG